GCAGTGCAAAATTAAATATTAGCCTGAATTGAAAAGTTTTTTTAAAACTAAACTGTGCTGGAGAACTGCTTTGCGCAGTGGATTCCATAGTGACCGGTCTGCCAGCTCCGCTCGACGAACTCTGGCCTGCTCCATGTCCTCCTCCTCCCCATCCCACCAATTGGCAGTCGGGCCTTCAGCTTTTCCCCACCACCCTTTAGAACTCCATCCCAGTCCCTTCGCCTCGCCCACTCCCTTACCTCGTTCAAGTTCTGTCTCAAGACTCTCCTCAAGACCCTCCTTTCGATCGTGTCTTCGGTCATCTTCCTCCCCCCCACCCTCCCTGTTCTCCATCCCTCTGATCCCAACCCCAACTCAGATCCATCACCTTGCATCACCAAACCAAACTGAGATTTCCATGCATCCCACCTATACATGGAAATCTCATAGATGGATTGTTGGAATGGAACGTGCACTCTCCTCCTTACCTAATTCCGGAAAGTATTTGCTGCAGATTGGCAAGAGTCAAGACTTGGGGTCACCAGAGTATGCTAAAGGCACATAGCTTGCCATTGATATTGGGTCTGGCAAGCTTTCTGCTGCTTGTCCAGCTAGGACAGCCCTACCCGTTAGGGCTTTAGCTTGCAGGGTTACAAAGAGCTGAGTGGGATGACTCCCTGCCCACAGTGACTGGTCTGTCATTCCAAGTCCTGCCGATGAGCGAGGCTGCCTGTGCTGTCAGCGCAGTGCTGTCATCAGCAGTGTCTGCCTGCGGATGACAGCGCTACAAGACTTGCCTGGCTCAGGAACCAAACTCCCGAGACCATCACAGAGGGCTGGCTCGATTCCAACATTCTGTTTCCAGGCCTGTCACCTGGAGCCAGTTCAGTTCTAAGGCGACCCTGCATATCTCCCCCTTAAGGAGGATAGCCAATTCATTCAAACAGGAAACCTAGGCACTCACTCACAACAAAACGCATTGAACCTGAAGAGATAGGCTGCAGCAGATGTCTAGTTCAAACAACCCCACTAAGGCCAGGGTATATCTTATGGATGTGAAGTGTGATTGAAATAACTGAAATCTTCAGGTTTTGGATTCCACCAAGCTTGACGATGAATTTCCTCTCATTCTCTGAACTTCTTTCAAAAAACAGACCAGCTGAGACGAGCGAGTATATTACATCTTTTGTGTCTTTACAATCAAAGCTTTAGACTATCTTCCTTGCGGCGGAAGGTAACCCAGGGGTGCAGGGCATTAGTTCTGCAAATGGTAATCAACACAGTTGAAAAATGGACTAAGCAGAGATATTGACCTACTCCTCACTGTAGGCAGTTCAATTTTGGTTCTTAATAATACTGCATTTGATGTAGCGCCTTATCACATCATTGAGACTTCTCAAAGAGTTTCACAGAATATATTGTAAAGTGTATTATTGTAAAGCAGCCAATTACGCACTACAGTGTCTCACAAACAGTCATAGATTGAGTGACCAAATTATTTTTTTTTTTTGGGGGGGCGAAGGGATTATTACCCCTTGAAAAGCAATCCACCAAACTAACAGCTGGGTTCCTACTTACTGCTGGGTAACCAGAGGCATGTGGAGTAAGGAACCTTGCCTAAGGTTTCGCCTTCCCCGGGAACAAACCCAGGTCCTCTCTATTTCGAGGGGAGCCCGCTAACCACTACGCTGCAGGATCCCACCAGCAAGTTCTTGCAGCAAGTCTCGTCCTCCATTATTGGTTCAGTCCAAAGGGATGGAAGAACTGCCGAGTAGGCAAACCTTTTTCTCAAAAGATTCATGACATTGATTTCCTCTAGATTACTAATGTCTGCACAGTCTGAGGTTTGATCGCATGGGAGGTCGCTGATTGCTGGGGCAGAAGGTATCAGTGTCCTCTGACAAGAGAGAGTGGGGATTCCCCTATGTTCGAAAATCCATGTGTCTACACCTACGGTGAGGAGAGCAGACTCAATTTTCTTGCCCTTCTTGGTCAACAGCTCAACTACACGCACAAGTGAAGTGTGTCATTTTCAGAGCAGAGTGCTGCTACCCCAGCAAGTGACTGCCGTGAAGGGAAGGGGTGGGAAGAGAAAACCAATGATAGTTGACATGAGGAGGAGTTGGTGGGGAGGAAAGAAGACTGGAGTAGAAATGGTTCTTCCCCTCATGCCAGCAAAATCATCAAATTGTGGCAGATGTCAAGATGAGGATGAAGTGAGAGTAGCAATATCTATTTATTTTTATTTTGTGCTTTTCACATCAGAAGGGCATTTCAAAGTGTTGTACACAAATAACGGGATGCTTGAACTGAGGGAGGGAAGCTGAAAGGGATGGGGGAAAAGGTGGCTGAAAACACTTCCGACTTTTTTCAGACGTAAAGCAAATTTTGACAGTAGTATCCAGGCCAACAAATGTCCAAATAAAATTGGTCTTTTGTTTCATGGTTGGTGGTGAAACGTTGCTGTGTGCAACTGGGTACCACATTTGTGTATAAATTCAGTCACTTTACTTCACAATGAATCTTGTGAGACGTCCTCCCGAAATGAAATGCAAGGATGTAAAAAATTTCCTTACAACATCGACATCACTAATTACACTTTAGCTGACATGAAATTCCTGTCATTACCTCAAGAACAAAACCTGCAAGTTCTTTTGAATTTTTTTATACAATTGCACTCTGTTGAAACTTATCTTATTTGCTTTTCATTTGAAAGAAGTAATGATACACATGAGAACATCCTTGTGAACAGTCCAACACCTGATCTTACAAATACAAAATGCATCTCGGAGATGCATTTTGTATTTGTAAGATCAGGTGTTGGACTGTTTCCCTGTAGATTTTGAATATTAGCGTGTCTATCTCAGAATCCTATATTAGGGCTGTATAATAAGGAGATGCAGCATTAAGCTTCCCAGGAAATATAATTTCCTTTCAAAAAAAATGTTTCAGCTGAAGAACTCGTGCTCAAAAACAGCACTTAGAAGCACATTTGAAAGTGGGCTTACAATTCGAGTCCTCACTGAGAAACACAGACATCCTGCAGTCAGAATGCAATTTGCTGTATGTCACAGGAAACCTGGTCTCTGCAACATATGAATGTCATGATACAGAAGTGACCACCTCCACCCACAACAACATGCATTTATACTTCACGCCCTTTCTCAAAGCACTTAACAGTGGAGCTGCGGGGAGCTGTAAGCATGATCAAAGAGGAAGGTCTTCAGTCGTGATCTAAAAGTGGGGACAAAGCTAACATTTAGTTAAGCTTGAAAATTGTGATCTTGCACTCCAGGATTTTATACATAGCAAAAATGTGTTGTTTGCCACAAAGCTCGATCTTCTGCTTGCTCAAGAATGAGCTATTTTGATACAATCACTTTGCTATGTATGAAGTACAGTATATCTAAACATAGCAATCTACAGAAAGCTGACAGAGGGGAACAGCACTAAGTAACATTTGATCTCTTCTCTTTTAGGTTGTGTCACGTTTTGCTAGGTTATTGAGACTGGGTTCCCAATGCTTGTTAGCATACCTGACGAATGAGATGTCCTCCCGACGTGAAAGGCACTCTATAAATGTAATTTTGTTGTTGTTGTTTTGTTGTTGATAAAACCCATTCGCAGTTATCTTGTGAGACACCAGTGATGTAAATAAAGTATGAGAAAGGGCTCCGAATACAAGGAGGATAGACTAAAAAGATCAGGAAATGTCAAATAATTATTAGTTTAGAAATAAATGTGCTTTGATCACTGTATGTTTCGCCCAAAAAATACAGTAAATTCACTTTACAGCATATTCTGTGAAGCGCTTTGAAGCATCTCGAAGATGTGATAAGGTGCTATATCAAATGCAAGGATTATTATTATCTGTTGTACTGTGTGCAGTTTTGCTCTCCCAATTTAAAAAAAAACTGAATTCCTTAAAAATTGGACTTGCACAGTGTTGAATTATTATGCAGAAGCCTAGACGAAACTTTGTGGCAAGAGATTTGCAAGCTGATGAACTGCAACACTCATGCTTCACAAATAAAGTTACAAAACTGTTTGCAAAGACAACAACTGTTCTCCACATGACTACAAAAAACATGTTCGGTGCTTTAGTGCTCCCTTGTTTATAGTGCGGGTCAACTGTGGCTGGATTTAAGCGACGACTAGCCGGTTTCCTGTGCTGAAACAAGCCTCACGCCCAGGTTGTAAGGTCACTGCTGACATTTCTTATGGCTCCTGTCACTTTGAACGCACAGCATGTGTGCAGACTTGCACTGACGTCACTTTGTGAAGAAAAATTGCTTCCCCGATAACTGAACGGATAATTAAGATATTGTAGAACGGAACTGAGAGCAGGAAGGAAAAATGATGAGATCCCAGTGAAAAGCAACAATTTTCAAACAGTAGCACAGAATATCGGGTGGTTTCATAGGCTCGCTGAGTTATCTGTACATGAGGGCGTGCTTCAGAGGTTTACACTTCAAAGAGCAGCTCCCATTAATTCCTAATGAGGCATCTTATCAGAAAGCTGAATCCTTCCAGCCCTGTGAAATGCAATGTTGTTGTAATTTTAAAGGCGACCGAATTTCCAATAATTACAACATTTGGTAAGCACTCAAGTCTTTCACACCAGTGCAAGATGGTGGTGAAAGCTACATTTCTTGCACGTTGTTGTGATTCCACCTTTCTGAGAGGGTAGGTCAGCCCTTGCCAGCCCAAAGTGCTGCAAATCTAAAACATTCTCACATCCTTAAAAATGTTCTTTTGTCTGAGGGCCAGCTTTTAAAAATCAAGGCAACTCGCACATTTGAGCTTGATGGTAGCTCTCCCACACATTGCATATCCTGAAACCACAAACCTCAGTCGACTCAATTGTGTTGTCAGTTTAAATCACATTATCTTATTTTTTTCTAGTCACAGTTTTTCTCCACACCTTCCACACAGTAACTGGAAAACCCCAACATCAACAAATTACATTTGTAGAGCGCCTTTCAGGTCGAGAGGACGTCCGAAGGCAATAACTCACTCACCAGTCTTCGTTGCTGAAGTTGCTCCCGAAGCACCCTGTCTTCTGGCAAAACGTCACACAGGAGGAAGTAGGTCTCTTGTTCTTCTGTTTTGAATAAAAAAATCCATCCTTTAGAATCAGACATCAATGACGTACACACACGTAAATTGAAGAACCTGCTTGCCAAATGTCCAGTGCCACAAACATGTGCTTTATACCATTTTACTGTGCTATTTGGTCATTTGTGGAGTCTCGTAGGGAAGTGGTTAGCATGCTCGCCTTACTTTCCGGAGGTAATAATCTCTATATAAAAAAGTGGTCACTCAATCCTTGACTGTTTGAGGGACATTGCTTTGCACAATTGGCTGTCATGTTTCGCCCACAAAATACAGTCAATCCACTTTACAATATATTCTGTGAAACGCTTTGAGACGTCTCAAAGACATGACAAAGCGATGTATCAATTGGAAGGATTATTATTATTATTATTTTTCAAAAGGTTAATTTAAATTGCAATCTTGGTCACAATAGAAACTATTTTTGACAAGAAGAAACTTGCGTTGAACAATTACTAAACTTGTGGAAGCAGCAACAAAAAAAAAACTGCTCGGGACCTAAAGTTTACATTGAAATAAGAAAAGAACTTCACAATCTAAGAGACTTACCCTCAGGAGCTTGGGAGTTGGTCTTTATCACACTGCAAAAATCCAAAATTGGTTGCTCGGTAAATCTTTTCCTCCAATATAAAAGGTACCTAAAAAAAAACAAAAGAACATATAGCATTTTGGTTTGAATATTATTTTGCTTTGCCTGTTATTATTTTACTCTGCCTTTGTAATGTTAATAATCTTTACACTTTATAACAGTGCCTTGTCAAATCATCTCAAAGCGCTTTGCAGGAATTATCTGTAAAATGTAACTGCATTTTTGAGTTGGCAAATGTGGCAGTCAATTTGCCCACAGCAATGACCCACAAGCAGCCATGAAGTAAATTATTCATTTTATTTGGGGCATTGTTGGCTGGGACACTGGCAGAAGCTCCTTTCTCTTTTAGAATAGCAACACGGGATTTTTAACGTCCAACCTGAACAGGTAGATAGGACTTTGGTTTCACGTCTCATCTGAACAACGCTCTTTCAACAATGCAATGTGCTCTCAGTGTGTCACTGACATGTCAGCCTGGATTATGACTCACGTACAAGAGTGATACCAATTGAGCCAAGCTGACACCTTTTTGCCTGATAATGAAAATTCAGTTTTACTTATAAGGCTTCAACCGACTCAACTACAGGGAGTTAATCCTGCAAATAAGGTTACAGGCAGGCTAAAAGCTGACAATCACTGAAAACTGACCCCTCGAGGTGTCACAGAATAAAACTCTGAAACGATCTCCCACTCAAATTGCTTACAGATCAAACAAATAAAATAAATAATCCCTGCATTTGAAAAAGCACTCATCACGTCGGGAGGGTGAAAAGCATTTCACAAGATTTATTGTAAATTTGTGAGTCAGCCTGGCTCAGTGGTAGCACTGTTGCCTCTGAGACAGAAGATTTTGGGTTTGTTGAGACTTGGAATCACAGTCTAAGCTGTGCTTGGGTAGTGTTGCTTTGTTGGAGGTGCCGTCCTTCAGATGTGGTAGTAAACTGAGGTTCCATCTGGCAGTTCAGGTATACGGTAAAGATCCTATGGCGCTATTCGAAAAGAGAAGGAACTTTCTCATGTGTTCTGGCAACAATGCATCAAAATAAAATTGGGAGCTCAACCCATGGCTGTTTGTGGGACACTGCTGTATGCAACTGACTGCCACGTTTCACCCACAAAATATACAGCCAATCCACTTTACACTACCTCCTGTGAAGCATTTTTTGAAACGTCTCAACAACATGATAAGGTGCTATACCAAATGCAAGAATTATTATTTATTATCAGTGACTGTATTTTGAAGATAAATGGAGCAACCAATTTGCACACATCAAATCCCGTGTTTCTCCAGAACATGGATCGCGATTTAACATGTTTTATTCGTAGAAGATCAAGTACTGCGGAAACTTCTCATTACTGCAGTGGTCTCTTCACAGCTTGTGTAAATCTGAAGGTCATGGCAGTGCTTCCAAACTAAGCACTGCAGTTAGAAACCTGTTTGTAATGTACGCACAGCTGGGTAACAGAGAGAAATTAAATATGGGCAAACAATAACAAATTACATCTGTATAGTGCCTTTCACATCAGGAGGACATCCTAAGGCGCTGGGCAGTCAGGGAAGCGCACCCAAGCTGGTGGTTGGGATCAGGAGGGATGGAGGGTAGGGATAGGACAGTGACCGAAGGCACGGTCGAAGAGGAGGTCTTGAGACGGGTCTTGAAGGAGTCAAGGGAGAGGGGTGAGGTGTAGGGATTGTGGGATGGAGTTCCAGAGGGTGGGGAAGAGAGGCTAAAGGCCCGCCCGCCAACGGTGGAGCCGGCAAGGTGGGGGATGTGAAGCAGGCCAGATGCCACTGAGCAGAGGGAAAGTTGGGGTTCAGAGGTCACAGAGGAGAGATGATCATTTTATGAAGTGAAATACATGGAATTCTTTGTACCGTGCTCGGTCAAGCTATTTGATACTGTTATTGATTTGAAAATTAACTTTTATATACTAAAATGATAAGTGTTGAGTTTGTGCCATTTTGCTGTGTATATGATCCATTTTCCTAATCCCAATCACCAGTTCCATTGCGGATCCCTGACTGTGCAGCGCCTTGGGACGTCCACCTGCTGTGAAAGGAGCTGTACAAATGTCATTTGTTGTTCTTGTTGATAAGGAGGAGCAAGGCTTTGAAGGTGAGGGTCAGGATCTTGAACTGAGTGATTGGGAGTCAGTGATGATGGGATTGTGCAGCATTGTGCGGTAGAGGACACGGATGATCTGTAGCAATAATAATAATGTGTAGGGAGGAGTTGGGGAGGCCGACAAGGAGGGAGTTTATGTAGTTGAGCCTGCATATAGTGAACGCGTGGATGAGGGTCTCGGCAGCCTGTGGTGAGAGACAGTGATGGAGGCGGGCAATGCTACGGAGTGGGGAAAGGCAGAGTGGGTTATGGCACGGATGTGGTATATGAAGAACAGTTGAGGGTCAAACAGAACACCTAGCTTCTGTATTAGCTCCGTGAGGTGTAGAGCGCATCCATGAAGGATGATGCTGTCAGCGCCCAAGGTATGAAGGCGCCGACAGGAGCCAAGCAGGAGAGCCTCGGTCTTGTTGACATTCAACTAGAGAAAGTTAGCTCTCATCCAGGATTTGATGTCCGACAGGCAGTCAGTGAGGACAGCAGTGGTCCTGGAGTCGAGGGTGGAGGCGGAGAGATAGAGTTGGATATCATCTGTATACATATGGAAGTTGACCCCATTTCTACGTATGAGGTCACCAAGGGGGAGCATGTAGATGTTGAAAAGGAGAGGACCAAGGACAGAGCTCTGAGGAACTACATACCTGACAGTGTGGGGGCTGGAGGAGAAGCTGTCAGTGGAGACGGTGGGAGAGGTAGGATTTGAACCAGGCAACTCCATGAAGGTTGAGTTGAGAGAAGCGGTGGAGGAGGATAGAATGGTCAATAGTGTTGAAGGAAGCGGAGAGGTCAAGGAAGACAAGGAGGCAGAGAGAGGCCTGGTCGCAGATGGACAGAATGTTGTTAGTGACTTTGACCAGGGCTGTTTCTGCGCTGTGAGAAGCACAAAACATGTTTATAGAGGGGTTCATAGAGGGAATGGGGGGAGAGGAAAAAGAAAAGCTGGGACCCGACGACTCATTTCAGGGCCTTGGAGAGTTAAGGGAGGTTGAAGAAGGGGCGATAGATGGAGAGTAGTGATGGGTCCAAGGAAGTTTTTTGAGGATGGGAGTGATGACAGCTGTTTTTAGAGGGGTGGGAACAGTGCCAGTGGATAAGAAGAAGTTGATGATGTCGGTTAAGAGAAGGGCCAGGAGGTAGAGCTGGGAGGTAAGGAGAGGGGTGGGGATTGGGTTGAGGGAGCAGGTGGTGGGCTTCATTTTTGAGATGATGTAGGTGAGGGAAGATGGGGAGACAGGGCCGAAGGTGTGTAGGGAGGGGTGGGTAGGGCCTGGGGTGTGAGGGGGAGGTGGGGAGTGGTTAGCGGTAGACCGGGGAGAGGACTACAGCTTAATGGAATTTGTAAGCCTGTGTAGAGCAAAAAAATAACTCATCTAATTCTGTACGGATGCAAATCCTTAACTGTCCAGCATTTTGGGACTTCATTCTGACGTGAAAGGCGCTGTATAAATGCAATTCTGTTGTTTGTTGTTGTTGTACCACCTGATCTAAACTGAACAAAATTTTGCCAGGACTTAAAAGAAAAAGATAAAGATTCATCATTTGGACAGTTCAGATTCAAACCAGCAGTTAACTCTGAACAGCTTAATAATAATAATAATAATCCTTGCATTTGATATAGCGCTTTTCACGTCGGGAGGACGTCCCAAAGCGCTTCACAGAACACACTGTAAAGTGAATTGACTGTATATTTGTGGGCGAACGCGACAGCCAATTGCGCACAGCAATGTCCCACAAACAGTCGTAGATTGAAAATGACAAATTTAATTATTGTTTTTGTTTTTTGGAGGGATTACTATTAGGCATATGGAGTAAGGAAACTTGCCCAAGGTTTCGCCCTGTCTGGAATTGAACTCAGGTCTCTCGCTTGCAAAGCGAGTGCTCTAACCACTGAGCTACAGGACTTGCCGTTATGTGATGCGTTTTCGTGTTTAGAGGCCAAGGGTTACAATGAAAACGGAGGATTGCAAGCTGCCATGCAGTCCCGCAAGTCATTTCCCAGCCATTATCCAGTCCAAGGTGGTCTGCCCCTGATCACTGTCCAACAGCATCCATACCAGCAACGCTCCACCCAACAATCTGTTCAATCTCTGACACGGCTGCTCAGAGAAGAAATTCTAACAAGAATAGAGTCTGTCACTTGAGCACAGTATGGCTCATTTGGCGGCCTGGTTCAATTGAAAGTACATTTCCCTCCGAGTCAGAAGGTTGTGGGTTCAAGCCCCAAGTCGGGACTTCAATGTTGCAATCTGGGCTGAGACTCTAATGCAGTTAGAGGTGCCTTCTTTCGGATGAGACATTAAACAGGTATTGTCTGGCTGTTCTCTTGGACGTTAAAGACCCCATGGCATGATTCAAAAATAGAAGGGAGTTTCTCCCGGGGTCCTGGTCAACATTTCCCAAATAAAGTTGGTTATTTACTTCATGGCTGTTTATTGGTACGCTGCTTTGTGCAATTTGGCTCTTGCGTTTGCCTATAAAATATATAGTTGCTACAATAAAAAACAATTTGGTCACTCAATCCACGACTGTTTGAGGGATACTGCTGTGCGCAATTGGCTCCTGCGTTTCACTCACAAAATACACAGTCAATTCACTTGACAGTATATTCTGTGAAACACTTTGAGACGCCTCACCTATATCCTGTAGATATAGGAGTCCTGTGGATAAGGAGTCCTGTAGCTCAGAGGTTCGATTCCTAGCAGGGCGAAATGATGGGCAAGTTTCCTTACTCCACATGCCTATTTACCTTGTAGTAAGTAGGAACCTGGTTGTTAGTCAATTGATGGGATCGCTTTTCCGGGGGTAATAATTTCTTAAAAAAATAATATTTTGGCCATCAATCCACGACTGTTTGTGGGACACTGCTGTGCGCAATTGGCTGCCGCGTTTGCCCACAAAAAATACAGTCAATTTTCTTCACAGTATATTCTGTAAAGTGCTTTGAGACATCTGAAAGACGTGATAAAGCACTGTATCAAATGCAGGGATTATTATTATTGTATCAAATCAAGGATTATTACATTATATATTACAATAAAGTCCTGTAAAGCACTTTGAGGCATTTTCTGACTTGAAAAGAGTTACACCAAATCCAAGGATTGTTATTCGTATAAGGCTATTATAGGGTCTCGGCCCATAAGAAAAGCCTAACAAAAACACATTTGAATACTAATGAACCCAATAGATTTCTGCCTGAAATGTCATCAACAAATGTCTCACCCATCTGCAAAAATACTAGAGTAAATCACTGGAATCAGAGAGAAATTTTGAACACATTGAGGCAGCAAAGAGCCTTTACTAATGACGCGTTTTCCAATCTGATGCGCTTCATTAATGTAGGTCTACGCTTCAACACGCGCAATTTTTCAGTGGATGACGGGAATTGAGCAGCTCTTAAAACTCTTGTTCTGTTTACCCTTGGATAACAGCACCCATCAACAATAACAATTTACAGAGGATGACTGAGAGAACTTCACACAGCTGACTGGGAGCCGACCTATTATCCATGCATATGATATAAAGCAGCGTGGTCCAACTGGCATCATGCAGGTCGGCAGGGGCCCAGCAGGAAAATTTATGAGGCCTGCGACCATTTTCACCATTCCAACTTCCACTCATTCCCTCCCCCACGAACATCCTCCCAGGGCTGCAGCAGGAGTCGGTGATTGAGAGGACACAGAACACAGAGGCTTTATTGGTCTGTCAGGAAGGCATGTGCGTCGCTTACCAACCACGTCCTCAGCAACCAACCTCCTGCAGCTCGGGCCCTGCAGATAGTGACCTGCACTTGGGAGAGAGATTGGGAGACAGGAGGGGTGGGTGGGCGGGGGGGAGAGAGAGGAGTGGGCGGGGGGAGAGAGAGGAGTGGGCGGGGGGAGAGAGAGAGGAGTGGGCGGGGGGGAGAGAGAGGAGTGGGCGGGGGGAGAGAGAGGAGTGGGCGGGGGGGGAGAGAGGAGTGGGCGGGGGGAGAGAGAGGAGTGGGGGGGGGAGAGAGAGGAGTGGGCGGGGGGAGCGAGAGGAGTGGGCGGGGGGGAGAGAGAGGAGTGGGCGGGGGGGAGAGAGAGGAGTGGGCGGGGGGGGAGAGAGAGGAGTGGGCGGGGGGGAGAGAGAGGAGTGGGCGGGGGGGAGAGAGGAGTGGGCGGGGGGGGAGAGAGGAGTGGGCGGGGGGGAGAGAGAGGAGTGGGCGGGGGGGAGAGAGGAGTGGGCGGGGGGGAGAGAGAGGAGTGGGCGGGGGGGAGAGAGAGGAGTGGGCGGGGGGAGAGAGAGGAGTGGGCGGGGGGGAGAGAGAGGAGTGGGCGGGGGGGAGAGAGAGGAGTGGGCGGGGGGAGAGAGAGGAGTGGGCGGGGGGAGAGAGAGGAGTGGGCGGGGGGGAGAGAGAGGAGTGGGCGGGGGGAGAGAGAGGAGTGGGCGGGGGGGAGAGAGAGGAGTGGGCGGGGGGAGAGAGAGGAGTGGGCGGGGGGGAGAGAGAGGAGTGGGCGGGGGGAGAGAGAGGAGTGGGCGGGGGGAGAGAGAGGAGGGGAGAGAGAGGAGTGGGCGGGGGGGAGAGAGAGGAGTGGGCGGGGGGGAGAGAGAGGAGTGGGCGGGGGGAGAGAGAGGAGTGGGCGGGGGGGAGAGAGGAGTGGGCGGGGGAGAGAGAGGAGTGGGCGGGGGGGAGAGAGAGGAGTGGGCGGGGGGGAGAGAGAGGAGTGGGCGGGGGGGAGAGAGAGAGGAGTGGGCGAGGGGGGGAATCAAAAACAGCAGTGATCTCAATTCCAATCCCAGGGGGACACTACTGCACCTTTCCCTCCAGTCAGAAAAACAACCGTTCACCACCACTGGGAGATTTCTGTCTCCCAGCCATATCCATATATGTATCCATGCTAAGTCTATGTCCGTTTGAAGGTTGAGGAGATTTAATAAAAGTTTTCAAAGTTATGAGGGCAATCGATAGGGTGAACAAGAAGAAACTATTTCCCCTGGCCTGTGGATCGGTAACCCGAGGACACCAATGTAAAATAGTTGTTAAAAGAAACAGAGGGGAGGTGAAGAGCTGCGTAAGAGTTTTACACAGCAAGTTGTTCGGATCTGGATTGCAAAGGGTGGTGAAAGCTGATTCGGTAACAACTTTTAAGACAAATAGATAATTATTTGCGGAGAACAAGTTTGCAGGGCTACGGGGAAAGGGATTGATTTGGATAGCTCTTTTCAAAGAGTCAGCACAGACACCATGGGCCGAATGGCCTCTTTCTGTGCTGGAGAATTCTATGATTCTGTGAGGTCTTCATCGAAGTACACAAATGCTAACATTAAATGAACAGGTTCCCTTTACTTTTTAGGGATCTTCCACTCGATTTCTCTCTTTCATCTTACAAGTAAATTCATTTTGTGGGTCACCAAGAGATTTTTCTTCACCCTCATTTTTACGCAATATACATAATACACCTTAATAATCTTTGCATTTGATGTAGCACCTTATCATGTCTTTGAGACGTCTCAAAGTGTGTCACAGAATATACTGTGAAGTGAATTGACTGTATATTTTATGGGTGAAACGCAGCAGACAATTGCGCACAGCAGTGTCCCACACACAGTCATGGATTGAGTGACCAACTTATTATTATGTGAAGGAATTATTACCCCCGGAAAGTGATCTGCCAATCGTCTAACAATCATGTTCCTACTTACTGCTAGGTCAACAGATGCGCGTGGAGTTAGGAAACTTGCCCAACATTTCGCCCTGCCAAGTGCTCTAACCACTGAGCTACACTCAAGACTCCACTTGTGTTTCATATAGCGCCTTATCACATTGTTGAGACATCTCAAAGCGCTCAAAGAGAATATACTGTAAAGTGAATTAGCTGTATATTTTGTTACACAAACAATCCGATACTGTCCCACAAACAGTCATGGATTGAGTGACCAAATTATAATTTTTTTTAAGGGATTATTGCCCCCAGAAAGCAATCAAATAACAGTTGGGTTCCTGCTTTCTGCTAGATAGACAGAGGTTTGCAGAGTAAGGAAACTTGCCTAAGGTTTCTCCCCGCCCGGGTATCGAACCCAGGTCTCCTCACTTGCCAGATGCGCATGCAAACCAATTCGCAACCGGACTTCATATTCACTTGGAATCACTTAACAGAAGGTGACCAAGACTAAATAATCATCAATACCTTCTGAAATCTGCAACCAGTTTCATGTCTGCGATCACCAGCTTGTGTTCCAGGATCATGTGCTTGAGAAGCTTTTCCTGATCTGCTGCAGGATGACATTCTTCACAAAATATGCAAGGTAATGCTGGAGGACTGGACGTGTAACGTCTGCAACTAGGGGACTCCGGCAAGGAGAGTGGCTCCAAGATCCAATCTTTGCTTTCTGAAAATAATACAAAATTCCTTACTATCCAAAGAACTTGGGACTCACAACATCTCCTCAGGTCCAAGTGCCTCAGTGTTTTCAAGTAATTATTTCAGAGTGCAATGTTTTGTTCGCATGAAAATGTGGCAGCCAGGATGGACATAGCAAGGTGCCATACACACCAAAATTAGGTATATGACCAATTTATGTGCAGGATTTTTGGAGATAGCAAAGGATATGCTCGTTTGTCTTTTTGAACAGTGTCACATGGTCTTTGGTTATAAAGACCAAATGTAATCTTGTTGTCTTGTAGTTGTATCTGGGGACAGGCAGACAGAAGGGATCTTGGTTTTAATGTCACCTTCGAAGGACTACATCTCTGACAATGCAATGCTTCCCCATTCCTGCACTGAAATGTCAGTCTGACCAACTGATGGAATACCACCTTTACTGACCACCCCCACATCCCCATTGCTCATTCATTCCTTTCCACAGAAGTAATTTCCTTGGTCCCTGGAGTTAAGAGGTGAGTTATCATGTGGTGTTTGATCACTTTAGTCCATACTACAACAATGCCACAATTACTGTCCACAATATTATAGTTAATGAGAATCACAGGGAAAGCATTCACAGGGAATCACTCACACTGCAGAATGAAAAACGTTTTTTTATGGTTAGTCAGGTGTCAGACACAAGTGAAAACCTATCCCCATGTTTAAGAGTTTCTAAAAGAGAGTTCCAATACATGGATGGAACTTTCTCTGTCTGGATTGGAGTGCACACACTCGTCCCTGGCACCCAGATTGCTCACCTTTTCTAAAAAGTAAAAGGAGCAAATTGACAGGAGCCTTGGATTGGGGGCCTCAAGAATGCACAACAGGATACTGCCTGAATTTGACGACCTAAAACTGTGTAGTTTGCCATTGCAAATACATGTTGCTTGTATATCGAAGACCACCAACCTGTTTGGACTTTGGCTTGCAGAGTTAATGGGAGCAGAGTGGAAAGAATTCATGATCCCAATGACCATTCCCAATTACTGTCCTTGCCAACAATCCCCCCAAATAAAATTTATCACTCACTGCATGGCTGTTTCTGGGACACCACTGTGCACAATTGTGTTGCTGTGTTTCACCCACAAAACACATAGTCAAAACCACTTTACAGTGCTTCATGGCATCACAAAGACATGATAAGGCACTATATCAAATACAAGGATTATTATTATTGTAAATGCACCAGGGCTATTATTTTGACAATCTGAGTTCAAAATTATGACATGGGTTTGAACCCAGAATTGGGAGGTAAGAGAGCAACGAGCTGAGCCGTACTGACACTTTATATAATCTTTGTAATATATATATATAAAATCAGAGAAAGTTATCAACCAATCGACTAACAACCGGGTTCCTACTCACTGCGAGGATAACAGAGGAGTGTGGAGTAAGGAAACTTGCCTAAGATTTCACCCCACCTGGGAATCAAACATGGTCCTCTCGCTCAGGAGCGTCCTAACTACTGTGCTTTATAACTCAGAGGCCAGTGTTGGTAAAGTGTAAGTTGTTGTCTGTGGTGGGGCGGGAGATCAGGGGGAGAGCCTGTGGTGGTAACACAGGCCGCCGACCGCCGTCTGATGTGTGAAAAACAATACAATTTGTTTTGGTTGTTAATAAAGCCCACAAAATAGGCAGTAAATTCACTTTACAGTCTATTCTGTGAAGCGCTTTGAGACGTCTATAAGACGTGAAAAGCGCTATATCAATTGCAAGGATGCTGATGATTATTATTATTATTATTAAGCGTCTTTTCCCACCTTCTCCTCCTCCAGCACCAACCGCCATCGCCATGACTATTGTCAGCATCAACCGTCATCATCCAGGCACGTGATCCCTGCCAGCCAATCGCGGGCAGTCAAGGGGCCCGATTGTAGTTCACGGCTTCCCCGCCCTCTCCCGGCTCAGAGTCACGGCACCTGGAACTACAAGACCCACAATGCTTCGCGAACGGCTCAGCGGTACGTCGCTGTGAACTACAATCCCCACAAGCCCCCGGGCTCTGCCTCTCCAGACTCACCCCCCGGGGACGGGGAGCAGCGGCCGGAGTCTGAAACAATGATTGCGCGGAGGGAAGTGGGCGCTGTGAGAGGCGGAAGGTTTTTTATTTAAAAGGATTTTTTCATATGTATATAACAAGAAAAACTAATTGTGTTCGGACGCGGGGATAGAAGAGGGCTGTGGACGAGCTGCGCTTTGCCTGATTATATTCCATTATATTGTACTGTAACTGGTCAGAGCAGCCGCCGCCGCCACAGCGGAGAGAGGACACAGACACACACACACACACACACACACAGTGGACAATGTGGATTCCCACCGACAATGAGAAGTACGGTGTGGGTAAGTGACCGCGCGCTGAGCCTTGGATTGCGATGTGATGTATTGCTGCCCTTTCTCGGTGCAGTGCTCGGCAATGGGATCACTTGCTTTGGTCAGCGGGAGAGCTGAGGAGGGAGCAAACCGGAGACGGGAGACACCGCAGCCGCGGTCATGTGGATCCCGACCGACAGCCGTGTGCGGTGCTGTGCGGTGCGGTGCGGCGCTCCCGCCGCCCTCTCAGCTCTCAGTCATCTCTCATCTGTCACATTTGTGGTAAAATCCATCTCTCTCGGATTGGTCCGCAAAGCCCCCAAATACCCCCCAAAGCGGAGGTTAAGCCGAAAACTCCTAATCCCCTTCTGTTTTTTAAAAAAATAGCCGCGGAACAATCCGACTGCGGTTATCGAGGGATCGTCTACTATTATTATGTTGTGTGAAGCGCGTTGAGACATGTGGACCCGGTGGGTGATGAGCTGCTGCAGCCAATGCGGGGATTATGATGATGATGATGATGATTGTTGATCTTCCTCTGTGCACGGAATGGGAGGTGTTTTTGCTTTGGTCAACAGCGAGGGAGAGGGGAAGGGTTTTGGATGCAAGTTGTGAGGTACAATCTCTGGTGGAGTCCTGGGGCTCAGTGCTTCCCGCGCCGCGCCCGCCTCACAAGCGACAGGACCTGGGTTCGATTCCCGGGCACAGCGAAACGTCGGACAGGTTTCCTTTCTCCACACACCTCTGTTTACAGCAGTAAGTAGGAACCCGGTGGTTCCTGGATTGGCGGATCACATTTCTGGGGAGAATAATCTGTTCAAAAAAAAATGTGGTCATTGTTTGCAATGCGTGCAATTGTCTGCTGTGTTTCGCCCACAAAATATACAGTCAATTCACTTTGCAGTATATTCTGTGAAGCGCTTTGAGATGTCTTGAAGATGTGAAAAGGAGCGATATCAAATGCAAGGATTATTATTGATATGATTGGGTGC